TAAGTCACACACGAGCACTATAGCACCATCCCACTATAGTATTCGTGTGTTAAATGTCGTGTGTGACTTATCGGCAGGTCTTTGGTTTTAACCTTTTGATTTTTTCTTTCCGATCTTTTCTTTCTTGGATTTCATATTTTGTTGGTTGGTCTGTGTATATGTAAGTGTTTCCCAACCTAATTAACCTTAGTAGGAAGAATGTGCATTGTCCTTGTTTTCTAGCTCGTTTGTTGCCTCTTTTACGCGCTGCACTACATTATGATTGACTTGTTCCAACTCGCCCAACAAGCAACTTTGCTCAGTTCACGTGCAAAAAGGTCCCGCGAAAGTCTGCCAGGCTTAGAAAGATCCCACTGCAGCATAAAAGAAAAGTAACAGCCACAAACGACACCCACAAGGATTCTCTGAAAAGTATGCTACTGAGGTGAAAAACAAAATTCCATCTTGTCCACTGCTTCAACCCGAAGATGTCGCGTTTTAAGTTCGGGCACTTTGATTTGAATTAACCAGGGCACTTTTCTTTCTCTTTACTGATTGTAAAGAATGGAGTAGCTCTCTCCTATAGTTGTGCTCTATAGGTACACGTGCGCAGGAATTCAAGCTGTGTCTGTAGAGCAGTCTCTTATCATGGCAGTCATGACAGCTGGCATGATAACAGATTGCACAATATACCGGCTTGAGTTTCCTTGCATATGGTTCACATAGCGAACACGTGACGTGCACTGTGCCTTGTGGCGAACGTTCAGCAGATTCTCCTGTCGTTTTTAGAATAACGAGCATGATGCGAGCATGTCACGAGCATGTCGACAGGTCCGATGTATTTCAGACGGATAAATAGAAGAAAAAAAAGTTTGTTGAGGTTCTCAAATTGCACTCTAGCTTTGTATCCCGTATAACGCCAACCAGTTCAGCATCTATAACAAAGTAGTTCATGACCAATCCCACGTGGTAGGTTGATTACACCAGGTTGAAGAGGAAGAATTCATTACCCAACCAGCAATGACATTGATGCGGTTTATTTTCTCTGAAGTGAAGGTGATGGCAATACACTGGCCTTGTAGTCCGACTGGCCAAGAAGTGCACGCCCCCTGAGAGGGTATGAGCCATGTGTGTGCCTCCTCATTATCATCATCATATCGGCTTGCTCCTGTCCCATATACAGCAACGTCAACGGCAACAATGCCAGCTCACAACGGAGCTCACCCACGAAATCGATCCATCAGCGTGTACCACACAGGCTCGGAGCATTCCCCAGCATTGAATCAACGTCGCCCGACGTCAGTGGAACCCCATCACTGGAAAGCGCACCCGGGACATGCTGGGGGTTCAGAGATTCCTCCAATATCGAAACGGCAAGAGAGACACGAGGAGCAGGGCGGGGGTGCTTTGTACGCGGCGAGCCCGACAGGTCCTCCAACGGTGACGGCGCCAGCGGCCTCAAGCGCTGCCCACGACGACGGCACTAAGGAATTCGACCTCTGGGAAGATCACTCGTGGCAGCGCTGCCTGATCGTCTATATAATCTTAGTGGGCGTCATAGGGCTGGCTCTGATTTTCTTCGTCACAGTGGGTTCCACGTCGAGGCATCACGCATTGGAGGAGACGACGCGACGGGCGTTCACCAGGATTAGTCCCCAAGCCAGGGTGTTGGTCTCGTCGAACGCGTCCAGTCGGCTGTCGAATCCAGTGACTGCCGAGGGCGATCACGTTGCCCATGTGCCGACTGCAGCCGCTACCTTGGTTGACGAAGGTGACGGTGGAGAAGACACCACTACGGAAGACTAGGTGCCTATCAGAGTATACATAGATTGAAATTATTGTGAAGGTGTCAAACGTGCACCCAGCGTGTTAATTAACTAATTTTTATTTATTTTAGTTTTCATCACCTTCCTTGCTTCGAATTCACTTCTCGTGTATCTCGTGATAGTGCATCCCACAAACAGCACCGATAAGCAGAAGTGTCGCATCATGTCCCGCACAGCATCTGCGAATACCAACTGCTTCACAGGTGTGTGTTGTAGTGGTTCAGCATGCGAGAGCACGCGCAACATCCAGCGGACCATTGCCTTGGTCGCTCAGACTATCGCTAGTATCGTCACAGTTTATTAAACACATTATTTTCTATTAAACAAAAAACGAGCTAATTTGGGGTGTTGCGACGCATGAAGTATTCTAGGCGCTAAATTCTGACAGGTCCGTAATTCTAAGACTTTTTCGGCACACTCGGAATATACGCTGCAGATCGGCAGTCATGGCTCCTTGAACATGCGAGCCAAATAATATATCAAAGCCCGTGGCCTGGAATTCACAATAAATTTTCAGTCAGCTAGAAATTGTTCCTTCTTCTTTCTTCGAATAATGCCACACACCCAAATGAGCGCGTAAGACCGAAGTCCTTTGCTGATTTTATTGATTTTATTGATTGATTGATTGATTGATTGATTGATTGATTGATTGATTGATTGATTGATTGATTGATTGATTGATTGATTGATTGATTGAATACTTCATTGAACTATATCACAACGTTCTCTCACTTGTTGGCTTCAGCACTATCAGTAATTTATACGGTATACCCTGTCGCCGGCTCAAATCACTGAGGAAGAGCTTCCTAGTACCACCTCTTCGAAATCGGTCTGGAAGTATCAGAATAAGGGATTCTTTCCTTTGGCACATCTACTCTAGCCTACAGTAACAAGGATGTTTTCTTCGCCATTGAGGAATTCACCGTTCAGTCTAAGAGAGAATCTAGCTAAATTCTCTATAATTCAACCAATTAATTTCACATAAGTAGTACTTAAATTGGATAGTTCAGTTAATTATAGCTTATACAAGTAATACAAGATACAAAAAATACCGAAAAAATCACCTACTACGCAGCCATTGTCCTGTATTAGATATGAGCCATCATATGAGAATAACTGGGGAGTTTAATAGTGCTTGCTATTGCTAGGCAGGGGATATTCATCGTGAGCGAGGCATCACACCGCTTATTCAGCTTGGCTCGGATGAGTGGATTTTCGTATAAAACTCGTATAGATTAGGTGTCGCATGCTGTGTAGTTATTGCGGCCGCCCGGGTGTAGGACGAGCGCAGTTATATACAATGTTTATTATTCATGAATAGTATGCCGTCTTGAGTAGTGGATTCCGTTTTGCCTTCGCAGAACCCGAAGGAGTTGCCCGGGCGCAGGACAAGATCGACAGTTATATACAATGTTAATTAGTCATAAATAGCATGTCATCTAGAGCAGAGGATTTCGTTTTGCATTCATTATTATTGCCACGCGGTCCGTGAAATGTAGAGCCAATGATTGTTCCATCGAATGCAGCCTGAACTTGGCAAATGCGAGGTCTCTGTGTGTTCTACGTGTGGCTGTTGGTTGTTCCCAGTCAACGAAATGCATCATACAGCGCATTGAGACGTCACATACTGCAGAAGCCAGTCGGCGTTGCCGTTGAGCTGCTGCATCCCGCACCCTCATTTCCGCTTGGCGTTTTTGTCGTTTTGCGCTGCTTTTCACGCCCTCACCTACGGAGCAGTTTGTCGTCGGCGTTGCTTTTGAGTCGCCGCTTCCCGCGCCTTACGTCCGTCTTTATCCTTGACAAAACGGAAATGCTCCTTGGTCTGGAACGCGCTTTTATACGCATTCGCACAACAGCGTCCACTCGAGTTTTCAGCGTCATCGTTATCAGGTGCCTTGCATGAGCTGACGCGCTTATCCTTGATAGTCATGGCGTATAACGGATACAATGGACAACGCACAACGGCCTCCGTAAGGTGCTAAGACCTTAAAAGTGCTCAAGGTCATGACACGTGCGTGACGTATCTTTTACCCGTGCCATTCCTCCCTACTTAGCTTCCAGAGTGTTTGTCGGTGCAAGAGAAGAGCGAAAGCTGTTGTATACAGCGCGCGATGCATCTCCAATTCTGCTCGTACTCTAAAATTTTTAGCGGCGGTCGATTCGTAAGGCGCTAAACCCATTTTTTGAAGCTGTTCATGATGGTATAATAAACCTTTATTTATTACGAGTAACCACAGGGTTGCTGAACTGAATGCTTGAGCGGCCAGACCCTATTGCGGGACGCCAATTTATATAGGTGGCCGCCGCTGCCCAGGCGCGCTTCACTAAGGAGCGTCGAGCATCCAAGTAAGGTACCTAGATACACGCGCCCAGATCATCGAGGCACCCTACATCCAAGGTGAAGCAGCCGCCCAGGTACTCCTCCCAACGCTGTCTGCTTGGGATGGGGAAGGGGGATGAAAAAGGATGTAGGCTGGCGGGGCACGAAGCGACGAAATCATAGGTGTCGGCTAGGACTTTACAGGTCACGCAAGTGCCATTGGTTTCCGGCAAAAATTGATTGGTTGAGGGTTACTTGAAAAAGTGTTGCAGTTCACCTTGCATACATCTTTGTACGTACCTGGCTTTTGCTAGTTGTGTGACAGAGGCTAACAAAGAGCAAGCCCACATCTGGGCACCGTGGAGGATGTACAATTTCTTGGCAAGTTACGACTGTAGGGACCATGGACGAAGTACCTATTTAGAAACTGGTAAGCAAAAAAAGACGATCAATGGGTTAGTGCTAAGAGGGCAAGAAGAGAAATTTAAGACCTTGTTCCAGAGAGATACTGGAATCTAGACGTGCCACAGGGCTCTGCCCTTAGTCCCCTATATCTAGTTCACATTAACAACGTATACCTTTACATGTATCTTCAAATTTCCGCATTCACGTTTGCCGACGACTGTTATTTATCGTATCGTTACTAACGCTTCTGACCAAACATTACCGCGAGAATACCTGGACTACATCCTACACAATAACGTGATGACTGGCATATGTCCCTAAATTATTCTAAAACTTTATACTATCTTGTAAAACCACTCAATTCTTAGCCAATCCCACACAGTGGGTATGCGTCACAGTTAATACGTGAACCAGAACAAGATCGTCAAGACGTCTCCAGAGCCAGCCGGAGAAAAAGCCGTGCGTCGATCATGACCGCGAGTGAAAGCCTGGGATACGGCCTGATGGGCTTCGGACCGGCGCTGGCCATGTTCGCGTTGACCATCGCGCGACACCCGAGCCGAGTCGTGGTGCTGCTCCTGTCCTCCTTCAGCTGGATACTGTCGCTGCTGCTGTCCTCGCTCGCCTGGTTCGTGCTCTCGCCGCTCGGCTCATCCCTGGACGTGGTCGTGGCCATCGCCGTGCTCTTCCAGGAGGGCTCCCGACTCGCCACGCTACAGGCGCTGCGCAAGGCAGACCACTCGCTCAAGTTGGCTGCGCTCGCCGGAGATGCGCAACTGGCTCGGAGCAGGGCTGCGCTGGCGTACGCTTCGGGCCTCGGCTTCGGCGTCGCCAGTGGAGCCTGCTCACTGCTCAACCCGCTGGCGGACATTGCCGATGCGGGAGTTCCTCCCGGTGTCGCGGGTACCGCCAAGAGGTACGTCTCATGATAGCTCCACACGGCACGGTTTCCCATCGCGATTCGCCTCAGTGGTCACTGCGGATTCACATGCCCTGATGCACTTCGTCGCAGCGACAATTGGGCTCATATAAACAATAGGCATGCGCGTAGACTCGCGTGAAACACAACTGTTTCCGTTCCTACACTAGCTTTCGTCTTAGGCATTGAGCGCATTGCTGATGTTGTAAGATGACAACCGTATCAACTTGCCTAGATTATTTATCCTTGCAAGACAGAGCGCTGCTATACGCAAGGAAGAATGGAGGAGGAAGGTGTAACCTAAAAAGAGATCTATGTGACAATTTTGAGTTCTGGTCATAAAAAGAATGAAGGGAAGGCTCACTGGAAAAGTACATACTTACCACGTCATAGGAATTTTTTATTCGCTAAAAGTCGAGAGCTGAGCGGCTAGATTACCTCGACGTTGGCATCTCTAAAAACTGTCATAGATGCAGTAACGTCATGAACGGTTTGGCGACAGTGAGCGGGGATTAGTTTCCAAGAGTCATATAGCGCATATACACTCTGAAGACGGAAAGACAAAATATCCAACCCCTCGTTAGTTTGATGAGATGTCTGCTTGACGTCAGTCGTTTTCCATCCTTCGAAAAATAAGGCACGTGCTGGTTGGAAATTCTGGAATTTCATGCGATGCGTGTGCCTGCATTTTTGCGAGACGTCCTCTGTATGATAGCTAGAATATACCACCATGTGTACGTGTCCAAAGTTGTCACCTCATTGCTGGTCCAGAAAATAGAAGACCAGCTCTTTCGTAACGTCTTTCGAATACAAGAAAACCAATGCAAGATGTAAAACGAAAGCAGAACGCCTAAGTAGAATTATACTGGCCAAAACAGGTTACTAGATACTAGTTGAAGTGAAAATATCGTCAATTATAGTGACCAAATTAAGCATCCTTCTTGCAGTTTGAATAGATTGAACTTTTTTTTCAATTGCCTTTCAAGGTCGCAAACCAGCGGTACTTCCATAGTGTTGCCCTGTAGAAAAGCACTTATACTGCACCCACTGTCCTTTAGTGCTAATTTGTAAGATTCGTACTGTTCTTACTTGTTTTCGTTGTTTCGTTTGTTTATGTACTAATTGCGTGTACAATACAACTTCCCTACTGGAAAAATAATCTGTGATTACAGTCTCTATGTCATTAGGCGTCCCTGCTTTATCCCGTATCACGAGGCAAAAGAAAGTGACGCCGATACGTGGCGCTGCCTTCGCGGCAGCTTGTGGAACAGATAACCCGTGACGAGCCGCAGCATTGCACACGTGATCCACACATGCGCGGCGCTCACTGTGTAAGCACGAACCACCGCAACGCAGGCTTGATTGATGGGACCTTACTTGTTTGCCGACGAGTATACAATGGATGTCGCGCTTAACAACCCATGTTTGCAGCATGTGCGGCGTGTACCACTTAACAGACGTAGCCGATCTGAATTTTCCCATTTAAAATAAATTCGGGGATCTCTTCCCTATCGGGAAAATGGAGGCAATTAAGCGAAGCTTGGAATGTGCGTGTCTGACATATTAGGAAGGAATGATCTTTACTGGCAGAAACCAGCAAGTTTAGGTGGCCGGGCTTAGCCTTTCCATGCGGGGACGTCAAGGCCCTGCAACGACGCCACTTCACAGGGGTGATTTTCTTGTGCATTTTTGCAAACGCAGCGGAACAAACACGAAAGAAAAGGACACGTAAACAGGACGAGCGCTAGACTTTCAATGTAAGCTTACTGATATAACGCGATGAAAAATATACAGACGTTCGCAAAGCCCACAGTGTCAGTAAACTTCTGTTTGATATCTAGCGCCCGTCCTGTGTGCAAGTCTGATTATTTTCTTTTATTCCGCTGCGCTTGTTCAAATCCACAGGCTGTAATCTCATCAACTAATTCAGATCTCTGCGTTGAACAGTGTGTTTTCTTTTCCGTTTTTTTATGTCATTACGGTTTTTATGTTTTTATGTCATCACGGACGGACGGACGCACAAACGGACGAATGAACGCACGGACGACGCAGGCCGTAGGGACGAACGCACGTATGGACGGATACACGGAAGATGGCACGGACGGAAGCAAGGACCAACGCACGTATGGGCAGAAGCAAGAAGGAACGGACGGACGAAAGCACGGGCGGACTGACGGATGCTTCGCCCACTCATCATCATTCATTCCATAAATATGCTGTGATTTTCGCCTTCCTCATGCCAGTTTCACACAGCGCGACACTTTCATTATTACAACATTCAACAACGAAGGTCACGCGGCCATATTCAAGAAGATGTGGCACCATGGAATGACAAGTGACCTCAATAAAAGGTCAGATAGAGATATCAGAAACGGTCTATTGTCGACAAGCACATGATGAAAAGACCACCAATCATTGGAAAACTGCGCGTACAAATAAACATGTCGCCTGCGCGCCCTATGGGGCCGCATTTCCACAGCTTCATTGTCGTCCGGCACTCCACGTATCATGCCAATGTATTAAATTGTATTATAAAGTGTGAGCCTTAGTACCATGGTTGTGAGGCTCCGTTTCCAAGAGACGGCTCTCAGCTCTCCTATAGTAGATTACCGAGCACTCTAAATCGTTAACCAATTCTTCTAAACACATCCTCTTAACGAGACGGCATATGCTCTCCCATAGTAGAGTACTTCGTGCTCTAAATCGTTATCAACTCTATCTAAACACACAGAGCTGCCAACGGGACGGCTTTAAGCTCTCCCATAGTAGAGTACCTCTAGTACTCCAAGTCGTTACCCACTGTTTTCTACACACACAGCTGCATGAGATCTTTTATGTATAGTGGGACGGCTTCCTGCTCTCCCACAGTAGAGTACCAAGTACTCAAAATCGTTGAACACTGTTTCTAAACACACGCTCGTCCCATGGAATCCTTGTTACGGGACGGCTATATTTATGTTACTCTATGGCTATATGCTCTCCCATAGTAGAGTATCAAGTACTCAGCCACAGAGGCAACGCTTGATCACCTATTGGGAACCTGCCCGGGCCTTCACCAGGCTCGCACTCGCCACCTACGCGGCCTTCACCACCACCCCGGCCGACCACCTGACTTGACGCGCTGGACGCACGGTCCACTGCATCGACAACTCCTGGCCTTCATACAGGAAACAAAACTTTTCCTTTTTATTTAACTGATGCCGTAGGGCATACTAGCGCCAATAAAAAAAAAAAAAAAAAAGTACTCTAAATCCTTAACCAATTTATCTAAAAACGCAGCCTTTTTTGTTTTTTTCCTGCGGGCAAACGCATCTTATTCGACGTCGTGAACTCGTTCACGGCGTAATTTTTGTTAACAGGGCCTCATCAAGTGTGAGGCCCACGGGACGGCTAACAGCTTTTCCATAGTAGAGTGACCGTTAAAGGGGCCCTGCAACACTTTTTGAGCATGGTCAGAAAACGCTGCCGATCAGTAGTAAAGGCTCCCCCTACAACACGCGAGCCGAATATTATAGCGCAGGACGCGGCCTAGAATTCACAATAAACTATCAAAGTAAGCAAAAAAATTGCTGTCTCTTCTCTCGACAAACCACGCAATATGCCGAAAAATCACACGTAGTAAGCCCATGATCAGCCACTGGCTGATTTGAACTTGGCGCGCTCCCTCATTACAAATATCGCCGCGGGAGGCTGCTACTTGTACACGCGTGCGTGCGTGATCACACTAAAGAAACCGCGCATTTGAAGAAAAAAAATACTAAAAAATTGGCAGATCCCACGTACCTGGGAATCGACGCTATGCGAAGTATGTGGAGGGAAGGTGACTGTGTTGCGATTATGTATTGTGCGACGCGTCATAAAATGACGCTAGGTATACGTACAAATGTTGCACGCACAGACATAACTTGAAGAGTTGCAGATGTTTATATAACCAGATCTTTGCACTTGCGTAACGATGCCGACTGTAACATGCGTATTAGCAACATCAGAAGCTGATATGAAGCGCCGATGTTCGCGAAGATGCTGGCCCTGGACACAACTACATAAATCAACTTCAGCGTATGGCAAATAACCGCAATTGGCGTTAACCCGACGCGATGACTCTATCAAAGGAGTACATGAGTAATGTTTATAAAATTGGGTAGGCAGTACTGCAACCACTATTGACTTTTCCCAAAGATTAGCGTCTATTTGAAAAGTATAGTTCTGAGACCTGGCGTAGCTCTGTAGTAAAATGCTTCATTGCCACGCAGAATGCTTAGGTTGGATTCCAGCTGAGACCCTGACATTTATTCTTCGCATTCGTCGGGTCGACGCTACCAATGTTGAGTATTTCTTAACGCTCGCACATTAAAATTGCCCATGTGGGTTCTCGTTGTTCCTAGGTAGGCACTGTCTATCACCTGTGGCACGTACCCGCATACCAACGGCATATACCCGCCCGTGGGTATGTGCCACTGTCTGGCGAGAAGTGTTTGACGACGTACGCGGCGGGATTGTGACATTGTTCATGTTTTTACCAGCGCGTCATATTCGTCAAACCATTTTACCCTCCCATGCTAATTTGGTTCATGCCAAGTTAAGGGGGTGACCACGAGAGCACCCAAATGTAAGCGGCTAGATCGATCCATAGATAGATAGATAGATAGATAGATAGATAGATAGATAGATAGATAGATAGATAGATAGATAGATAGATAGATAGATAGATAGATAGATAGATAGATAGATAGATAGATAGATAGATAGATAGATAGATAGATAGATAGATAGATAGATAGATAGATAGATAGATAGATAGATAGATAGATAGATAGATAGATAGATAGATAGATAGATAGATAGATAGATAGATAGATAGACAGACAGACAGACAGACAGATAGATAGATAGATAGATAGATAGATAGATAGATAGATAGATAGATAGATAGATAGATAGATAGATAGATAGATAGATAGATAGATAGATAGATAGATAGATAGATAGATAGATAGATAGATAGATAGA